AAACAAACGAAAAATCAAGGAATCCATCTTAATTGAACAAAACAACCCTACCCTAAACCAACACCGTGGGGGGCCAAAATATTTCTTCTAAGTTTTGCAACAGTATCCGATCATGTGAACTCTTTGTTCAATACTATATATATATATATATATATATATATATATGTGTGTCAGTGTAAACTACTTGTACCTGATGATGACAAAACCTTGTCGAAACGTTGTACATTTGCTGTTATCTTAAACTTATATTAAAGTTTTTCTTCTTTACCTATTCAAGCCGTCTCCAAGCATTACTATTTGTATTAATTGTTATTGTAAATTGTGTTGTTGTGTGTATATTAAAACGTATTTGTGTTAAATACGAAAACGGTGTGTATCAATCTTGTTTGCAAATATCGTAAATTGACTAATGTATCGGCATATATTTAAATACTCAATCCAAAGCACAATTTAATTACTAAATTTAAATTATCATTCAACTCGGCTTCTAACCATTTGAAATTTTAATATGTAACATTAATAAATGGAATAACTCCATGGTTCTGTAAATTTTCCGCCTTAGTTAATTAATGAAGTTATTTAGATGGTTAAGTCCCTCCCTACTGGGCCCGGCACGGCCAGGTGGCTAGGGCGCTCGATTCGTAATTTGAGGGTCGCGGATTCGAATACCCATCACACCAAACATGTTCCCCCTTCCAGCCATGGGGCGTTATAACGTGACGGTCAATCCAACTATTCGTTGGTAAAATAGTAGCCCAAGAGTTGGCGGTGGGTGGTGATGACTAGCTGCCTTCCCTATAGTCTGTCACTGCTAAATTACGCTCGGCTAGCGCATATAGCTCTCGTGTAGCTTTGCGCGAAATTCAAAACAAACAAAGAAATCCTCCCTATTTAGCATAATCGCTGGATCAAATCCCTCCCGAGCTCAATTTGCGTTTCTTACGAAAACGCTTAATTTCTATTAGCATGCATGAATATCTATAGTTGTTTTTGGAGATTTCAGATTTCCTAAACTATTTGCAGCATAAAGTGAAATAGGCTGAAGTTAGGCTATCGTCTTTCTTCTTACTGAAGGTTTCTCTTTAGGAAATAGTTTATGAAGAGTAAGGATTGAAGTTGTAAGAAGTTTAGTTTGTTTGTTTACCTAATCGACACCTTACACACACACAGTTAATCAAATGGCTACATCAGAGACTCCTATAGTTTAAGTATAGTTGTAATTTCGAACTATGGGCCAAAGGGGTGGCAATCAATCCGACTGCACCCTCCACCTGAAGTGGCTACTCCTAACCGAATAGCGGTTAAGATGAAAGTGAGAAGCAAATTTTTTGCAGCACCACCTATCGAACCCATGACCATCAAATCTCCAGTTCGATATGTTAGCCACTAGGCCACGTATGATACCCTTAAGAAGCTTAGAAACAAATCATTAATTACTTACAAGTCATTCAACTTGTATTCTCCTAAGCATTTCATGCAGAATAAGGACACGTTTCGAGCTGCCGTACTTTCAAAGGAAGTCCAGCTATATATATATCTATATATATAAACACGCATACACGAGACAGCGCGAAATAGAAATGAGGGTAGATTACTAATTCACTTCCGACTTCTTCAGTTGATCTATAAGCATTTGGGACTCCTGAAGGAGTGAGATTGAAATCAACTTGTCGAACTTTTAACTGGATCGTGGCAGTGAGAGTGAAAACTGAAGTATTCAAGACATGTGGAATTTGACACCTTTTATCACAGTAACGTAACGAATGTAACATAACCACTGTTGACTGACAGGGTTGAGCTTGATATCATCGAAGCAACAAGCACAAAATATTATGCGGAAAAAGAGAAAGTTCTTCAAGTTCAGACTGCGGCACAATAACCGATGGCATATTCCATTACCCACCGGACCTTTTACGGTAGGCTGCACGGACATTATGACAGGTTCTTCCAAGTTCGGTGTATTCGTTCGATTATTTTATCCTGCAGCTGAAAATGATATCTTGGTAAGGTTGATTAGTAAAAATATTAAATATCAACTGTCTCGAAGATAACGCAAGTATTAGACTACAAATACTTTTGTGTGACTTAGTTAAAAAGTTATACACATAAAAAAACATTCAACTTTCTCAATATATGTATATAGCTAGTGCACTATCCTTATTTCTAATGTATAACTAAATATGCTATCCTAGTATATGGTTATATTTCTGTTCATTTGTTGTTGTTTTTCTTTCGCCTGTCTATCTGTATGCTAGCAACAGAATAATAGAAGAAAGTTACTTACATGGTATTAAAGCCTTAAAAGTCAACTTGTTAATAGGAAAATTATGAACGTTACGTTATTCAATACCTCGCCCCACCCTTCATCTAGATCAGTTTAGCATAGTAGAATTTGAGAATGTTGACTGATAAGTAATATATATCTATATACTTTGTGTGTGTGAATACATTCATTTCTTTAGGAAACACCAAAATACAACTTTTTTATAATGACAAAAATAGAGTAATTATATTTTATATTCGGAGACAGTTCGAAGTTAAAAACACACACAAATTTGGTGAATGTACTTCTTTCGAATTTGACGCAAATCTGTTACAAAACCAGTGAAGAAATTAATCGAATTTTAACATAGAGTAAAAACTTGTAATGAAAATATTTAATTTTACCTAAGGTATAAAATATTGTGTTAAATTACTCTTTAAATCAGTAGAAAATAAAAAAAAGAACTTGCAGAATGTGTGTCTAATCTCCGTTTCAGCAATGGCCGTCCAAATAGACAAATAAGTCAATCTTTACAAACGACAAAGAGTTTCAATTATTTATATATGTACATCCTGAAAAGTTTAATTGTTACCCGTTCTCACGTTTCTTGGGTAGCTCTGGTTTTGTTTTAAAACTACTGCTGTCAGTCGTCGAAATCCTTACAAAACGTAAAAATTTTTTCTGTGCTTGTGAGCTCACTCTAAAAGTTTTGAATATGTTATTGACATTGTTTGTTTTTTGTTTGTTCGTTTGTTTAAAGTTAAGGACAAAGCTACACAATGGGCTATCTGTGCTCTGCCTACCACGGGTATCGAAACCCGGTTTCTAGCGTTGTAAGTCAGCAGACATACCGCTGTGCTACCGGGGGGCTTGACATTGTTATTGCAGCGCGAAGTATCGATGAAGCCCACATACAAATGTGTGTTATTCTGTCCTGTTCACGAACCTTATTTTACAACATTTTGTTGATAGATAATTAGATGACGTCTCAGTATCATGGGACTGCGCGAGCATTATTCTGTATGAAAGAAACTATGAATATTCTAATTTATCCATTACGAAACATAATGTTGAATAATTGCTAACAAATAGCGATGCTTCTTTTTAAATAATTTACATCGTTTTTACAGTTAACAACGAACTCGCCTATACAAACACTTGTTGATACAATAGTTTCTTTCGTATATGCACGTGTTGATACAATAGTGTCTTTTGTATATGCACCTGTTGATACAATAGTCTCCTATATATATCACCTCTTCTCTAACCACAATTGATCAGAGTGTATGAGTTTCAGAACTGATTCATGTATAGATAACAGTAATCAGCCTTTCTATATAGTTTGGTAAAACGATCTGTATTGACTCTTCTGAGAGGTTGTGTTTCAAATAACCTACCAGTACATATGATCTAATAAGTTAAAATCCAATGAATTAAAATTTGCAAGATATTTATTGGGTTTGTATTTAAAAGTTATACATTTCCCATTTCCAGTCACAAACAATACGTCTACCTGTCACATCTCATTTGATTTACTAGACTTTGATGTAACTTGGAAGATTTTATAGAGAACTTAAACACTAAGACGTAAACGTTTGAGTAGAGGTTTTTCTTTCAATAAATTAAGCACGGTATTTTTTCTCTATTCTATGGTAAATACAAATTTTTGCTTATTTTTCCCCCTTACATTCAGGCGAAGAATATAACCTGATTGAGATGAGGTGTGGTCTCCACAGGTGTGCCCTTATGGAATACCTGCCATCACTTTCTCGTCCTGTACATACTCCAACATGAACATAAGCATTTACCTCTTCACTTATCATTTTATTCAACTTCACCAAAAGTTATGCTGGTTCAATTGTATAACTGTATTGACTATGTATAGATCACATAATTAACACAGTAGGAAATAAATAGCTTTCTTTAACCTGACCTTACACACTCTTATACAAGAATTCACCACACTACAGAGATTTAAAACTGTTATGAAGTTAGGTTTGTTTGAAATTTCGCTCAGAGTTACAGGAGGCTTATCTATGCTAGCCGTCCCTAATTTAGCAGTGAAAGACTAGAAGGAAGGCAGCTAGTCATCATCACCCACCGCCAACTCTTGGGCTACTATTTTACCAAAGAATAGTGGGATTGACCGTCGCATTATAACGCTCCCATAACTGAAAGGGCGAGCTTGTTTGGTGGGATGGAGATTCGAACCCGCGACCCTCAGATTACGAGTCAAGCACCCAAACCACTTGGCCATGCTGGGCCTTATGAAGTTTGGTGTAACATTGGTTGGAGAGGACAGACATGAGAAAACGGCCAGCTATAGTAAGTTTCTAAGGGATTAGGAGATTACAGTACTCTAAGCTATTAGAAAATGATTGAAGTGAGCAGTCTACTTTCTTGTTCAGTCGATATGGAGATTACAAGACCCCTTATGGTTATGAAACTTTATACTCCGATATACGGGGATCAGGTAGAAGATCAAAATGAAAGGGGCCTGTTTGGCATGGATTTGAGAAAGGAATATAAAAGTAAAGAGCTGAACGAAAAGAAAAAAATCGGGAGATGTGAGAGAGAACGTATAAACCAAGAGCAGTGAAGAGAGAACATAATATGTTGCCAGTAAGAAACAAAACCTCGATCTAAATATATGTGTATATTTATTAGAGTGATAAACATCATTTGTTATGTTTACATTGGTATCAGTCAATTTCTGACAGGAATAAGTACACTCTAAATAAAGTGGATGGACATAAAAAGGGGGAAGTGCACGTATACCACAATAATAACAAAGTGGTGTCAAAATGATCTTAACAAAATTATATCTGTTACTTCCAACTTACCTCAAATTCTGTATTGACGTCTCTTAAATTATACTTCCGATTTAATTAAAGAACTTGACACTTTTTGTTTGTTCCTTCTATAAACCTCACCTCACTTAAAGTCTGGCCATTGGGTAGAATGACATAGAGATAACTAGACCTCATACGGTAATGGACATATATTCACATAGACTGTGCTATTGTTCTGTGAACATTTAAGTAGAACTTGCTACATACTAAATAAGACGTAAATTTATTTGCATTTCCGTAATTTATAATAATTTACAGGATTGAATTTATATAATATAGTTACTTATGATATTATCTAACTTAATATAAATATCTTATTAAAGAGTAATAACTACATTGCACAAATGTGATAGGCATTGTGTTATGTTATACATATGACAATTCTGCTTCAGAGCTTCATAATATCACTAAGCAGACCCAAACGAGGTACCCAACCCATGAACTAAAACAGAGTGGTCATAGAAAAAATTTTTAGTTTCTATATAGTGGATAACTCACTCAGTTTTTATTCAGATTTCATCTAGAACTCATTCAGGCATCACATTTAATGCAATTCTCTCTCCAGACATTAAAGAAAAGTGCGATACTTCGTTCAATGAGCACATATTGCTGTTCTAAACTTTCTATCATCTTATATCCAGTCTCTTCCTTCAGTTCAGTCAGGTAAGAAACTCAGTTTTCACTCATCATATTTTTCTTGCTGTTTCTCAGGTTACTGTAGCCAATATTCAAGGCAATTTAGTATATCTGGAAATACCAAAAAGCCAGCATGTTTCAATCGTCTTTTCTGCAACACTAAGTTTCTTACCTGTTGTAATGGTTTTCAAACGAGTCCCAGAACTCGAGCGCTTTCGAATTCACTATTCTTCTTGAGAAGAATAAAAGGTTATGTTTAATGAGTGTAATGAAATATATAGTCACGGATGTCAACGTCACTTAAACCTGATGTTCAATATGAATTAGTCTTGAGAAAGAGCCAATCATAACCTCGAGTTGTTGGTGTCAGGTTTAGTTTGTGCCAAAAAGGTGTGTACAGCACATAATAGTTATATGAAATGTTAACCTAACTTTATAAAGATAAAAATAAAATAATGGCGAAAGGTGGTGGGAAATAGAAAAAAATGATAATGTGACACAATATATAGGAAATAATACCAATATAGAGAAATTAAAGAATGAATAATACTAAGAATGTAAAGTAAGTTTAATTATGAATTTAGTTTTGAAAATATTTTCAAGACATACGAAGGTCAACAATCCCGGGATCAATGTTCATGCCATTTGGCGTTACAGTATTTAATAGTGTTACCCAGTATGCTTCTTTAATTTCCCTGTTACTGTTAGATGTAAAAATTGTCTCTACACCCGTCAGTTTAATTCCTTCAAGAGAGAGTCAAGGTATGTTAAAGTGTTTTACGACCGGAAATTCTTTGATTGTTGATTTGTGGTAATTAAAACGTTCCCGTATAATTGTTTTAGGTTGATCTTCATATTGGAAGTTCACTTTCGGCACTGGATTAAATAAATAACATTTTTTTGTAGAGCAGGTTATTGGTTTAGTGATTTTAAACTGCTTTTAGTTGTCTTTATCGGATAATTTGTCCGTTTCCCGCATTAATTTACAGGTTTGGCATTGCTTGCTGTTGCAAGGATTACTTCCATATGGTGCCGACTTAAAGTTGACTTTAGCGTGAACTAAGTGTGAATGCAAAGTTATATTTCTGCTGAAAGAAAGACAGGAACTTTTGTAAAAATGGATTTTAGTCGATCATTAAACTGAAGGAGGTGAAAGTGTTTTTTTTTTATTCTTAATATCTGGGGTGGATTTTTTTAGTTTTGGGTGATAGGCAATAACCAGTGGAACTGAAGGAGGTAAAGGTGTTTTTTT